TTGTTTTAGTCTTAGCTTTCATAAATACAAACGCTTGTAAATCGAATGTACATAAGCTTTTATGTAATAAGACTATTCCATTTCCAAAATAAATACCAATTCCAATTCCATAGTTTTATATTCATTAGTCAATGGTTTTATCTCTAGAAATCAAACATCCGTAGTTTTTAGGTTTTGTAAATATATCGATATTTTGTGCTCCAAAATATAAAAATATATGGAAATGATTTTTTCGCAGCCAATCTATTTCATTCTTTAGCTTCCTATAAACACCATACAATGAAAATTGTGTTCACTTGCCGTTGTACTTAAGGCACTTGTTTGTTTTGTATAATCATAAAAAAAATCCAATACTGGATAACAAAATGGCAAAGATCGAGTAAAATACATTCTAATTTTAGAACGACAGATTTCTTGAGTCAGCTAAACAAAGATTTTCCTGGACAATGTCAAAGAGAGTTGAAATATGTATAAGGCTCCTTTATCTTATACTCTTCAATATCCGGCGAGATATAAGGGAGGATAGTTAAATCAAAACTGTATTTTCTGTGGTTGAATGTTTCGCATGAATCCTTTAAAAGTAGGGAAAGAAACGTATGAATCTGCAGTTTTATTACTTATTTTCGAATTGAAAAATAAACAGTATCGCATTGTTATGCAACGTGTGTTGTAATGCAAAACTAACTGTTGAAAGCCAAGTAGATGTGGGCCCGATAAGTCGAGCGCTTAACATACAAATAGGTGCTCTTAGAACTCTTCGAAGCTTTGTCTCTGAGAGTTTATAAAATGTGAATGGATTTATTAGCGTAGCTTAAACAAGTTTTGAGAGTCACTAATTTTTGTTAGGCCAGTTGATTTCTCCAATCATTAAGGATATTTTTAATTAGAGTTACAAGTGCAGTCAACTAAAAACTTATAAGTGAAGCAACGTAGTTAGATATTGAGTTGTATGGGACTTCTCAAAAATGTTTAATACTATACTACGTTCTCATTTTAAGTATATGCATCATAAAACTTATGGTAATGTTTGTGAAAATCAACGATAAAACTTGAAATGGCAAAAATCATTAAACAATTGGTAAAACAACACAGATTACAGTTAAGGGTAATGTTCGGGACTATGATAACTGAATGGTTCAGTGATTGGATTGTGTCCGCAATGTTTACCTACGAAAACTAGTTACAAGGGTCACCGAGCGAGGGTCATGTTGAGCTAGATCAGGACAAACAATGCAAAATAAAACAATATTAATCTACTCCTAAATAAAATAATCTGTGCCAAACGTATTCAATATAGAATACAGGTATGTTGTAGCGATGAGCACTATGGATTGCTTTTATTTTATTTGCAGCCTAATCTAAAATGAATGCAGAAGTTACTGGCCATAAGCCATGACGAAACAGCAAATACCCCCGCCGCAGCAAACCTGACGCCTAAGCGAATTTCCATTTGGCTGCATTGATTTTCAATTGATCTATTTAAATAACATTAGGTTTAACGAGTACCTAGGTTTGCTGCTACAAGGAAACTAATAAAGTGTGTGTTTTAAGTAAAATAATTATTGCTTAGTATAAAATGAATATATTTGCCAAGTTTGATCAAAAGATATCCATAAACAAGCAAACTACAACATTTTACAATATTCTCCATAAGAATAACATGGGAATTTTAAATTTACCATTTTTTTAGTTTTCTCCGTAACCAATAACCGTACAAAAACACTTTGATATACCAAATTGTTTGTTTTTTAAGCTCTTTAAGAAGGTTTAGAGAAAAATTGGGAAATTTTGTGTTTTGAGGGTCAAAAGTGAGAAAAACCAATTTTTACCCTATAAAACCCCCCATAAAACCCTGTTCCCATGGTCCGATCATGCTGGATCGCAAACTCATTCAAGTTTATCCCGCCTTACACCTTCAAACCAAATTTCATCAAAATCGGATACAAATTACTCAAGTTATCGTGTTCACGGACACACATATATATATATATATATACATATATACAAATTTGAACGAGTGGTGTTTTTGGCCTCTGGGGACATCAAAATGAAAAAGTAAATCGGTCCCGGGCCTAAGTCTTACCATGAGACCTACGGTAATAGCTACTTCCCTATAGGGAAATTCGCTAAAAGGTTATTGTCAGCAAAATATGAATTTATTTCGGTTAAGTATGATATGTCAAACTAGTGATAAGAAATAGAATAAAGTATATGGGGTTGATTATATATATATATATATATAAAAAACATAGGAGCGTGATTGTTACTTTATATTTACAAAATTCACAGGATTGTCACTCACTAACTTACAAAATAACGTGACAACTGATTCTTCAATTAGTTGCACTTGCACCTCATATAATGGGCATAATCGATGATGTATTTATTATGTCAAGGTTAAAATATATGATATCGACTTCTATTTAATATCGTAAAATAATACATTAAAACTATCTTTATCCCCCTAAAGTTGATGAATTTAATAAAATATATAGATTTTGAAGGAAATTCCAAGTGAAATATTAATTTAACAGCACAAATCCTACAGCCATAGAAATGTAATTCTCATTTAAATAAAACAACACATAACTAAACTACACACAGTTAATTATACATCCCCATAAATATTGACCACTGCTTTCAAATATATAAACCAAGTGAGGCTGAAGTAAATAACTCAAACGTTGAGGCAATCCGTCCAGAATTAATGTGTGAATAAAACCAAGCAACAGGTTGTCCTCTTGCATGTGTGAACTATAGTGGCATTCACGTGAAATAGATGTGTTACTTGTAGTATGATCCTCTAAATGGTGTATTAAAAGTAACTAAAGAATTTATAGGGTCCAGGCGTGAGGCGTGTGACATAAACTGACCATATACCTCAGAATCATAGGACTGTAGAGTTTTCTGACTCAAGTTAAACTTCAGTTTTCTACTTAAACTAAACACATAAATACTCTTTTCTAAGGGTTTGATTGATTTCATTTCTTTAGAAAGCGTAAAGTAAAAGAATATATCTTATCTACGATTTTTTATAAACTTAGTTACAGTATGTGGTTAGTAGTTAATGTGTTATTATTTTACCATTTGGTTGAAACTGAATAACATTTAATTTAAGTTATATTACGTGCAAAATGAATTTATTTTTCCACTATTGTTATTAAAATCTTTGTTGCAATATTAAAGGCAAATAGAAATTGGAATATCCTTGATAATAAATTATTTAACTCAACTTGGAAAAGGTGATAACACTTCGGTTCGATTGTACGAATAATACATCAACTGACTGACACAAATAAACCTGTTAACATCGTACTCTTGTCTCATTGACATTTTAACGTACAGGAATACATTTGTAAAACAGAATTTTGAAATAAATTTGAAACTGTTACAGTGTTTTTAATGCACAATGTCCAATATAGCGCCGTGTGTAATATATGAAAATAACCAACATTTTACTATACCAACAGTCAACACAAATGAATTATTTAAAGGCTATTTCCTGGATACAATATTCACATTCATATGTTGTGTCGCTGATAAATTAATAATTTTACTATTTCTCAAAACTGTTGATTTGTTGAAAATCCAAAATGTTGGTGTTGAAAATTAATTTTGCAGCCCGCAAATTTTACGAGCCTAAGTAAGATTCGTGTTACAATGGTTTGTGATGAAATATGAAAATTGTATGAGGTAACAGTCGGAGGTAACGGAGAATCACACAAAGTGATGAATGGGCAGAAACGAATGTTGGGATTTATAAATGAGGAGTTTGCATTAAACGCTGAACTCTACTGTCAGACTGTAATCCATCGAATCTGTACGCCTTGCAATACATATATCTTTCCTGGAATATTATCACCATTGGCCTTAATATTGCCTTTTACCACTCTACCGTAATAGTCTATTACATTACTAGCCCGGTAAGTGGTGTTTTACCGTGCGAACACGACAGATTTTCGTGCGAGTACGGTAAAGCTTACCGGACGAGTAAAGTACGATACAAATATAAAGGAAGCGTCTGAACATGAACCTACAACTGCTTTGACATTACAGTACGTAGAAAACAACTGAGCCATCTATTTACCAAATTAACCTATTTTTCATCCATCTCTTATCTATTCAAGGAAACCGTTGGCCTATTAAATACTAAGGAAATACTTATTCAAAAAGCTCCTACCTAGAGATTTAATTGACATGATTTGATGAATTTTTTTACGAAGTCTGGGACTATTTTCAAATCGAATGAAAATACGTCAAACAGCATACCACAGCTGCTTTGATGCCAAAGTTTAAAAACCCTCTTTTACAAGTAGCTGTATACCAAAGCACAGGTTAAAAGTCAAACAAGCAATGTGGATTGCAAAAGCCTCTAAGTGTATCTGTACCTCTTAACATTTGGTCTATTTAAAACCACCAGTGCTTTAACTACTAACTTTGGTTGTCGAGTATTCTTTAGACTAGTGTACAGACTCCTCACTTTCGTGTTGAGCATTATTTAGAAAAGTGTACAGACTACTAACTTTGGCTGTCGAGCCTCTCTAGCCAAGTTTACAGACTCATAAATTTGGTGTTGAGCATTCTTTATACAAATGTACAGACTACTAACTTTGGCTGTCGAGCATTATCTAGACAAGAGCACTGACTCCTCACCTTGGTGTTGAGCATTATTTAGAAAAGTGTACAGACTACTAACTTTGGCTGTCGAGCCTCTCTAGCGAAGTTTACAGACTCCTAAATTTTGTGTTGAGCATTCTTTAGACAAATGTACAGACTACTAACTTTGGCTGTCGAGCATTATCTAGACAAGAGTACTGACTCCTCACCTTGGTGTTGAGTATTCTTTAGACAAGTGTACAGACTACTAACTTTGGCTATTGAGCATTCTTTAGACAAGTTTACAGACTCCTCACCTTAGTGTTGAGTATTCTTTAGACAAGTGTATAAACTACTAACTTTGGCTGTCGAGCATTTTCTAGACAAGTGTACATACTCCTCACCTTGGTGTTGAGCATTCATGAGACCAGTGGACAGTGTCTGGCGGACCTTGCTGAGGACAGTCCCTGACTCCATGTCCGGCCCCGCCCCCGCCGCCCCCTCGTTGGTGGCCACCATCTGTGAAATAACAATATGCTGAGCAAACGTAATTTTCAAAACCTTTACCCTGCAAAATTTCAAATTAATTCTTTATTTATTCACGTTCTTGGCATTTCTAAGGAATTTCACTAAAAAGTACAATTCTTGGACCTCTCACATTCTAACGTTGACCTTGTGTTGGAATAATTAATTAATGATCAAATGACAAAATGGCATCTGTGTCTAGGAACGATCTTGAACTAGCGAACTTCAGGATGGAAGGCGAGCATTAATGACTCAGCTACCAAGAAAATGTGTTTTTTAACGCCACACGCACAGAAGGTACACGACTATACTATTGAATGTGTCATAAAATCCGTGTGGTTGACTAGAGCTGACTTTAATTCTTATCATTCTGAAGCGTCTAAATAGTTGGTGTGTGTGGTATCAGAGATTATTAAGTATTGTATAACCATTCTTAAACCATGCTTATCCAGCTCTGGCACTACTATATAAACTGTTTACAATCTTAGGTGTAATTTATGTTATACTGAAAAAAACTTGATTTTAACTCAAAAAAGACATAACAAAAGATTAGGAATTTAGAGTAAAAAGTTATCAATTTTCATTGTGTACATGAGATTACAAACAAAAACAAGTTGGAAATATACCTTTTGTGGCCCATTTTTCACTTTTCTAACGTTTACATTTATTCTCCGTAAAGGAAAGGGTTGATAAAACTACATGACCATATAATTCGCTGACTTTAATTCTACATTTCTTGTGTTTAAACTACCTTTTATTTTGTAGGTAACACGTAGTGAATGTTTTTCAAGAAAGTAGCGGGTTTTTTTACAAAGATAATTTTGATCTAAGCTTTATCATAAAATGGTAAATAGTTAATAGAAAACAAGACAAATACTTTTTAATTAAAAAAATATTTGAGTTAGTAACACTTTTACTCAAACATTCAAGAGTAATATTAGTGATGATAATGGTTGCACCACATAATAACTCTTATAGGAAGGTCTGGCACCGTAGCTGTTCTAAACACTTCCCAAGTTTGTTTCCCAGATGTCTAACTTATTTATCCACTTACCCAGCCTGTCTTGCTTCACCCCTTTTAAACACGTCTGTTTAAATGGATGGAACCTTTTTCGTACACAACAGCTAGACATGTTTTTAGTGTGGGTATAACAGTTTCTTAAAATGTATTAAGACCGAATAGTGTACTGGCATATGATGAAAAAAAATTCCTACAGTTCATAGTATAATCGTAAATCACTATTCAGGAGTACAAAAATGAATGATAAAAGACAAAAGATCCTTTGGGACTAAATTACAATGCTAAAGCACACTTTACCTTGTTATCTCTCCATGGAAGTATACGTCTAACGATTACATAAGTTTGTTTTTATTTTTGAGTTGTACAATTGATTACCTGATTATATATAATTGATTAAGTGATTTCTATTCTATAACTACGTGTATAGAATATGTATTGTGAAAAAAAACAGATTACGCTATATTGTTGACTATTGTAAAATTTTACTTGTATACTTATAAAAGACTAGAGATTTACACTTCAGCAGCCTTGACATCCTAAACCTGATACACCCAGACTGATTTTATCTATATTACTAGTTTCATTATACAAAGCAGTTTCACCACAGACAATTATGTTAGCCTCTGATATTAAACGCACATTAGTGCCATATAAATGAGCCATTATGTTTGCAATTTAGACCGGGTGGGTATTCAGCGAGCCCTTTTCAGCAAACATTTTACCAACCAAGAACACTATTGTTCTACAATGCATCACAATTATGCAGTTAAAGGGGTTTTCTTTTACGTTTAATATGCTTGTTAGCATGAAAAGTATGGGTAAATATTAGATGTACTCATAAAGTTCATCATTGGTTTTATGTTGTTAAAATATATCAAGATTAATTGAGCTGTTTTGGAGTTTTCGTAGCTTTACATCTTTTAAAAACTCACCAAAAGTCCTATGTACTAACTAAACTTCTAATAGTTAGATAAGCCATTATAAGTTTACCTTAAATGAAATGATACTAATAACAAATCTAATGTATGAATCTAATGAATTGAGATTATTTTGTTTGTAACTGTACCTTAAGTGAACAGATTTTTCACAATTGTATACAAGTATATTAGTTTTAGTTTTCAATTGCTGGTAAATGGGCGTGAGACATTTGAAAATAATTAATTTATGTAACTCTTTATTTTGACATATTTAAGATTCATTATCAACTCGTTGCTGATAGTAAGTAAACCAAGCATTGGTTGCCTTGATTTATTTACCCAATCCTTTACAAGCTGTAAGGTTTACGGTGTTTTGCCTTTTAAAAATTGCCCATTACCTACTAAAAGTGGTTTAAATACATTTAATACCATCAGAATAAAGTCTACACAATTAACACGTGCGATACGGGTTTCACAAATTCAAAATTGCATTTTATCTTTGATCCTATAGTTATGCACAATAATCGCACTTGTTCTCACATAAAGTAAAAAAAAATCAGCCAAAGACACATTTTTATAAACAAAGGAAAAGAATGGAACTAATAACAAAATGGCATACGGGATTTCATTTCCACTCATATTTTATAAATGCTGAGAACAGTTTACATTATAACTTTGTGTTAATCGAAATAATGTATCGCTGAAAAACTCATTAGCGAAGTTAATTATCTGTTAATCAGTTAATTGGAAATAGTTTTTTAATTGTATTATCACACACCTGCATTGAATAATCATGATTAGAAAATGGAAATTCTTGATGATTAGTTTGACAACTTCTATTTTTAAAAATTTAATTTGTATTCATCTTTATACAAGTTAAGTGGCATTACAAAATTAGGCTTCACTAACGTTTATTTAGAGCTAAAAATGTTTCTTTATTCAGTAAAAAAGAAATGCTTTATTGTGTTAATACTGTATATTACATGATTGGTTTTAATGTATTGAGCTAAACTCTTTTTTCTGTCAACGATCATTTACTATCTCCATGTTAGTGAAAATATACTCTATTTTAAATTTGTAAAATTTATATCTTCTGGACCTATTTTGCTCGGATTGAATATAATTTTTTAACTTTCCTAATTTAAATCCATACTGGAAAATAAATGTTGATAGTATGAGATCTTTAATTTAATTACTTTTCGCATTTGGTTACACCAAAAGTTAGTATATAGATTCTAAATATATACACTCTACGCCAGTAGTAAAATAGACTAGTTTTTTTTTACAGAAAAGGAAACTAAAGAAGATGTTCTGTTTATTTGGTAAAAATATGTAAATAATGATTATGGTAAACTTCCATTTCGTAGCCGACACTGCTGCAATATGTGTCTCTAAACTACGGTAGCGCAATATTTAATATTCGTTTTAAAGGTAAATAAATCAACTCGTCTTTTTGGCCAACGATGTATTTATTTCTCAGAGCATGTATTTTGGTACTAACGGTTAATGTGCTAACAGCTAACTCAATAAAATCTAAAATCCATGAAATTTCCATTATCATAGATATATTTTAATTTATGTGATGGCTTCAGTATGATAAAAATATTCATCGCTGCATCTCATTTACGATAAATACATAAAAAATAAAAATATAAAAATATATTTTGCTGTAGAGGGAACATGGAAAGTATCAAATATGGTTTGGCGTATACACTTGTCAAATTTCACAATAAAATATTTGCTTGAGCAAACTGCTTACTTAAAACAGTGAAGCCACCATGTGAATAAAAAAAATCCCTAAATCACGTTTAAATGTTTACTAAATAGGGTTTTATACTAGGAAAGAAGTAAATTAAAAATAACTGAGCATCTTGAATTTATTGTATATTTTTTCTTGAAGTGACATGTTTCGAATCTTAGCCCATTTACACAAAACCAATAATATAAACAAAGTGAAGTATTTGCTATTTTTTAAGTTTGAAAATGGACAAGTTCCAAAACATGCCACTTCGAGAAAAAAATTTAAATTTTAGGGTGCTCAGTTGTTTTTTATTTACCACCATAATACCATATTATACAACAATTGTTTTAGTCCAAATCTTTTTGCAATACATTTTACCTTATGCTGTATGAATAAAACATCCGTAGTTTTTACCTAATAAAACCTCTCTAGTGGAATACAAAGTACTTGTAACATTTCCAAGAGCCCCGGGCAGATTACAATACCTAGTAATTTACCTCTCACACTCCATTTGTGTTTGGTTTGACACGATCTATTTTCCTTCCATCGACGCTTTTTATTATATTCGTACATTTTTTGCACTAAATTAGTATTTATTGATCAATGATAATTGATCTAGAAGGTTCTTACGGTTTCTTCCAAATCATTTAACACCCATTGGCAACATCAAATTTAAAAACAAATTTAAAAAATTATCTCATAGAAATCGCTCCTTACTCCATTAAAGAGGTGTTTCCCCAATTAACCTGATTTTATTGGTAGTTTCTTAGTATTATATAAATTGTAATTTTAGCTTATAACTGTATTTACTATGTTAGGAATTTGGCTATTCAATGTACAATGTACAATTATTGAATAAAGATATTGAAATGAAATGAAAATGAAATCTAAACCTTGACTGTTGTATTTTTCTGTTGCTGTTAAAACAACTTTAGAAAAGAATTGCACACAAATTAATGAGTTTATTCGAACCTTGGTGTTTCCATGAATATGAAGTTTTAAAATATTATTTAATTTCGTAATAAATAATGCAAAAACCCCTAGATCCAGTCATTTTAGCCATTTAAATAATTTTCTTTGAACTAACAGTACGTCTTTACTTGTTTCCAATTTTTTCGGGAATGCAGCCTTCCTTTTTCTTGGGCATGTATAAATAGAGTGCCACACCTTCTGTTATTTTTTAGAGGACGTCCTACTCCAATCTTTAAATTAAAAATTTCGTAGTTAAAGCTGTATATACATTTTAATCTGATTTAATCTTTTCCCATGCAAATTCCCCACACCTTACTATGCCTGAATAATATACGCCTACAAA